GAAAAATCTGGGCCGCAATGGAATCTTCAGACTAGTCAAAGCCTGGTAAGAAAACCACCTAATTTCATGGGAATTGCCATGGTAAACCGAGGATTGGAGTATTGTAGGAATCCTCAGTGTGGACCATGGTGAGGTTTGCAACATCAGTTTTGCCTGGCGTTGTTTCCCCTCTACATGGTGGTATTGCAAGGATGGGGTGCAAATGGGCTTGGAGTCTGATTCCTTATATCCCCCTGCAGAGATGATGCAGACAGGGGACACTGAAAGTGATGTGGGTTGAAGAGCTCTTCTATAATTGATGATCCTACAAGGGTGACAAGTGAATTCAAGCAGGTTTTGTAACAAGATTAGTGCTTCCCTTCCATGTTCTCAAATGCATGTAACAAGATTCCTTTCTGTCCAGTGAGAGTGTGCTACCCAGAGTGTTCACCAGAATGAATGCCCTAGGTAGCAAAAGCTACTGGAGCTGTGTGTAAAGACTTTCAAACAAAAGTTGCCTTACAATGACTCTCATTCTCCTTATTTTTCTCACTCCCAACAGCAGTAATTGTGGGAAAGTTGGGTGTCCTTTGAACTCTTGCTTGCATCTTCAGCTGGCCACCCCTCGGCTCTGAGATGCAGCCTTCAACGTGGAGGTTGTCCTCTGGTTCATGACAAGACCATTCCAGGCCATGTGCTGCGGTCACATTATCCACATCTATTATGCAACTGATAGGAAGTTCAGGTCTAAAAGTTTCCTTTCTGATTCCAGCAGGGTTAAAGTCTATGGTTTTACTACGATTTGGGGGGGTTGGTTCATAAAGGCTTCCATCACTTCCTTGGACATGGGCTTTCTGCCTATGGAGCACACCTGGAACAAAGAAGAAAAGGAAAGAGAGATGATGATAATGTTTCAGATTACCACATGTTAGAACATAATTTGCTGACTTAGTTTGTGCACACGATTTCTTTCACAGTGTCTTTAGAATTATCTTTAACACCTTTGTTGTAGTTTCAGCTGGACACTTGCAGTTTGTCAAAATGCTTGTCTTGACAAAAAACAAACTCCAAATAAAATAATACATGAATAAATTGTAAATCAGTATTAGAACGAATTATTCATGAACTTTCATATCCTATCATGATAACTCAGCATTCCTATTCAAAGTGATAATTAACATTAAAAAATTCAGCTGGACAATCAAACTACAATATGTAGATGATCTTCAGTAATCACATGGCAATCCCATAGTCATCTTCAAGCATTGTTCAAGGTTTTCCTGAATAGTGGGCATGTGAGAGTGAAGAAGAGGCTGGCTTAGAAAACTTAAAGTTGTGTTATGAATATCAGAGAAGAGCTCATGTTGCAGTTCATGGAGAGTGATTGAGGCAAGCAGGAAGCAGTCGAGCCCAGCTCAGTGCAGGCCTGATAAAGTAGTTTGGACAAATGTCTCTTTAGCCTCCAACGAAGAGCTCACCATTTCATGGCAGCCTGTTCTGCTGGCTGACAGCTTTCACCTTCAAGACATTCTGCCTATAGAAGAGAATCCCTGCGGCTCAGGGTTGCACGGTGGAGTCCCTGGTGCTCTCTGAGCTTGGCTGTTTTCTTGCAGACGTTTCATTACCGAACTAGGTAACATCTTCAGTGCTAGAAGGGTGTGGGGTTTGCTCCCTGTTTATATACAGTGCCTTGCCCTGCCAGTGTTGGTGGGCATGTGGTTTTCTCCTTGGTAGTTCCTCAATTAGGGTATTGTTTTCTGCTTGATTGTAGTACATCAAACAAATGAAAGAATGGAGGAGGAGCAAGTGGTAACAGGATGTTGCAGAACAAAGAGAGAAAACATAGTCAGTGTCCCTTGGATCTTGAATCCTCCTTTCAGGACTATTTGACATCGCTTAATCTGCTACGTATCCTTATTTTTAGTAGTTTCCTCCTTCTTTAAATTTCATACCTTCCATCAAAAAGTGGCACCTCTGAAACGGTATCAAGAAGAACAGAAGAGGGAGTCACGTGCACATGGATAATAATCTGAAACAAATCACCAGATGCCATTCATTCCAGAAGGATGCCACGGCTGGAAGCACCAAAAGCCTCTGACAAATCTAGGAAAGTCTAGCAAACGGCAACCAGGGAGGTGCCTTCACGAGGGCCTTTTCTTATCCCCATTTACTGGGCCTCCATGCAGCTGCGACCTAGAGGAGGGTCCCTCTATCCGTTCTCAGGTGTGAGCAGACTGACAGGGAGGGAAGCGATCCCTAAGCTAACAGCCCCGTCCACAGAAGCCGCCTGTCAGTCCGCATAGCTGCTGCAAACAAACATGAGATGGTCCTGCATCTGAGCACCCACCCGAATTCTTGTGGCTGCATTCCAGATCAGTTCCAGTTTTTGAGGAGCCTTTGCAGACACACAGCGGATGCTGCAGTGATCCAGTCCGTGTCATCTGCACCGCAATAACAACATGCCCCAACTCCTCTTGCAATCACTCCCAGCTGTTTCTTCCAGAACTGCAGATGCTAAATAACGTGGGACACAAGTTGCAGAGAACACCCTGCCCCAAGGGTCACCGAGTCGAGCCTGAGGCCTCCAACGGCAGCTTCTGAGGACGGGTGCGGCACATTGCAAAACATGTCTTGTTCTTAACTCATTTTCATCACCGCAGCTTGGAAGAATCGTCTAGCTGATCGTGCTGCTGAGAGGACCAACAAAATCAGCAGGAACATATTCTCCTAATCTAGCTTCTGGAATAGGTCATCTGTCAGGGGTGGCCAAAGCTGTCTCGGTCTGAAACCCAGACCTGAAACCAGGTTACAACAGATCTTGATAATTCATTTAATGCAAAAGTCACTGGGGCTGTGAAGCTGCCATATTGTTTTCACAGTAGAGAATACGGAGTAGTACCTTGTCCCCAAATGTCAAATTAGCAACAACTTCAAAAGGGTTGGATCCATTGTTACATATACAATATTTCCATACAAGATAAGATAAATAAAATAAAATAAATGTATAAGAACCAAATTTATTCATTTCAAATACAAAGTATATGCAAAATCCACATTCAGATAACTTCAGAAAAAAATCAAAGTAATATTAAAAGCTGCAATTCAAATGCTACATACAAAAGTACAGAAGAGCTGAGACGGGGGTTAATGAACAATTCAAAATTCTGTATATATTCATTAAAAAAAATCACACATTCACACACTGTATAAAAATGTCCACTGCTAAGCACCAATATATACTTCTTGTATCTATCATTTGGATAGAATCTATTACAAGGTAATTTAAATTTTAATTTCAATAACTTGCAGTTGTTATCTAAAAAAGACAAACTAAACTTTTCCTAATATAACTCTTTCTTTTAAAAGTTATTCTAAAAGACAAACTGAACTTTTCTTAATATTTCAGAGTTGCTGACATTAGTCAGCACGTAACAGTCATGCAGGTAGAAACCACCAAAGAAGTGCAGAGATGAAATTTAAAAAATGCATCTATTTGCGTGATGCAGCGTCTCACACTTCTTGCTCTTGAGACCGTGGAAGGTGCAGCGATGCAGGACACGTGCAGAGGGCAGGACACAGGATTGTCCGTTCGTGCCATGGCCCCCCAGGGACAGTTAAATCCTGGTTTCTCTGCTCCCCCTCAGGTGTGGGGCACTAAGAAGAGTGTGGGCTGGATGGCCGAGCGCCCAACTAATCCTTACACGCTGTTCAGAAGGCGCATTTTCTACTAAACGCCCCAAAACCATGCTCTACAAGGATCTCTATGGGTCAGCTGACGCAACAAGAGCAATGGGGAATGATTTCGATCTGGAAATACCTGGTTTGAATTTCTCACAGGAGCCTTTTCCCCACTCCTCTGCCAGGGTGGCTGGAGGCGAATCCTTGGCGTCCATGGGACCGCTCCTCTCGGAGGGGATCAGCCTGCTGTTGGGGCTGTTGATGTCGCCCTCAGCCACCAGGGTCAGGTCTGCGACATTCTCCTCTTCGACCGCCTCACCCTCTCCTTTCCACTTCGGGCTCTCCTGCAAAAGCAGAGCTGGAGGCCGGGGGGCAGTGCCGCTGGCGCCACCGCTGGCCTCCTGGCTGAGGGCCGCGGACAGCGCCAGAGGCCTCTCTTTACTTTCGGGAAGGCTCCTTCTTCTGGCTGCCTGGTGGCTGGGGTTGTGGGGGCGGCTGCCCTTCTCCCTGCGCTTCTCCTGGCCGTCGGGAGGGGAGGTTCTCTCGCAGGAGCCCGTCGCTCCTTCGGGGACAGAGGAGGACATGCCCGTCTCATATGAGGGCAAATGAAGAAAATCGGGCAAAACCAGGTCTTCTTTTCTCAGCAACCCTCGCTGGTCATCTGCTCGGTTACTCTGGACTTTGGATATGAGTTCAAAAAATTCTAATGCAAGAAACCCAGAAGACACATAGTTTAGATAGCCACCATTGCAAAATCCCGTGACACCGAGCAGCTATTTCTAATTAAATACTTTGCTAATTTATTTCTCCATCCCCCAAAGGGTTTATTAAAAATCTGGAAAAAACAGCACCAGGATTCCAAACACTTGCCAGCATTTGGAGCTGAAACCCTTTCTCACGATACCATAAATTCCATGTATCAATACTGGTTTAGTAGTCTAAACTTTAACCATTGGTATTTGCCTGGTAAAATTCTCTTGTAATAAATAAGTAAAAATAAATTAAATTAAATTGAAATTAAATAAATAATAGACCTTTTGGAACAACTTTTAACCTACATGCATCAAGTTATATTTTCTTGCGCCAGTTTTTCATGTGGTAGGATTTCCCACTGGGAAAAATAGGGTTAACTCATTCCAATAAATTATAGAAAACTAAATTAATAACTTAAGCCAAACAACATGCAACTAAAGAAAATATATAACTAAACAAAAGCAAAAGGATTTATGGAATTAGAGGCCTAATTATTGATGGAAAACCCCTTACCGCTGCATACATTTTGCAAAAGGATTATCACAAATTCTCACTTGGTTTTAATGAATCGAGTTCAATCACTCCTTTGTAAACACTAGATTTGAAAAATGCTATCCATCTAACTACATTTAAAAGCAATGGGATTTTATCCATATGATGGAACAGACTTTTATATTAAATGCAACAGACTCCCATAAAAAGATTAAAAGATTCTAGGAGGATAATTTGGGATTTGAACTTGATTAATTATCCAGGTACTCTGTGGCACAGAAGTCTTTTTCAATCTACAGTATTTTATCCAGTCATGAAAAATTATTCACGAAGCTAATCCATAGGTGACATGATACTTTGATAATATTAGGCTACATAAATATTGTACACTTTCTACATTGTGTTGGCAAGTTTGTAAGCAAATGGTACATAACGGTACTATCTTTGGTGACAAGGTGCCTTTTGGTGAAAGTGTTGTGAAGAAAATGGGAAAGGACTTCTGATCTTGGCTTGGACTGACATATTTTTCTCCTCCATTGAAAATTATCTTCTAAAATGACATTGAATTCTGTGCTGTGGCATCAACATTTCATTTATCTACTTCAGGATCTTGATTAGACTGGCCTGTCCTGCTTTAAATATGTCTATCTGAGGGGTTCTCCAAGCTTGGTTGTTTTCTTGCAAACGGTTCGTTACCTGGCTAGGTAACACCTTCAGTGCCAGAAGGGAGTGGGGTTTGCTCTCTGTTTATGTACAGTGGCTTGCCCTG